CTAGGAGGGCCTTCTCGAGGAGGTCAACGGTGAGAGTGGTGGGACAAACCGAGAGGAAGTGGTCCCTGACTACGCGAAGGGAGTCAGGGAGACGGGTGACGATGTAGTAGAGGGTGATGTACATGGGGGGGGGGTTCTTGGCGCAGAACTCAGCAGGAAGCGCAGCGCTGTAGCGAGTGTCACTAGTGCGGAGGTGCGTGATGAGGTCAGCGACTGTGGGAAAGGCAGCAAGGTCAGGGAAGAGGTACGGTAGCATGAGGCGGCCCAGTGCAGCAGTGGCAGGGGAGGAGTAGCGTGCAACTACAGCGTCGTACAAGGTCTGAGCACTCTTGTACTGGCTAAAGTGCGCACGCTCAGAGGTAGGCAGGTGGCGACGCATAGCAAGACGTGCAGCAGCATCGCGCGTGGCCCACTGGGAGCGAACAGTTGCGTCAGCATCAGTGGCGGGAGCAGGAGAGGCACCAGAAGTGAGGTCAAAGAGGGAGAGGCCGTCTGCCCTATCGCACTGTAAGAAAAGCTGCAGGTCATCTATTCAGACGTCAAAGTCAATGGCCCGACCCTCAGCGTCAAAAGCGAGGACACTAGGGGTAGCCATGACAGTAGTAGACTAGCAGCGCAAACAGCAAACAGTGGGGTGAGGGCAGTGCTGTGAGAGAGGCGCTGCTCTTACCGGACAGGGCGGCTCGGGCGGCGCGGCTGCAGGGCGGCTCGGCGACTCGGCTGCTGGGCGGCTCGGCTGCTGGGCGGCTCGGCGGCTCGGCTGCTGGGCGGCTCAGCGACTCGGCTGCTGGGCGGCTGGGCGGCTCTGCTGCTGGGCGGCTCGGCTGCTGGGCGGCTCGGCGGCTCGGCTGCTGGGCGGCTCGGTGGCTCAGCTGCTGGGCGGCTAGGCTGCTGGGCGGCTCGGCGGGGCCGCTGAGAGGGCGGCGTCCGGGGCCGCTGGGAGGAGGCGGCGGGGCCGCTGAGAGGAGGCGGCGGGGCCGCTGAGAGGAGGCGGCGGGGCCGCGTCAGGGGCCGCGGCAGGGGCCGCGTCAGGGGCAGCGGCAGGGCCGCGTCAGGGCGCCGCGTCAGGGGCCGCGTCAGGGCGCCGCCAGGGGCCGCGGCAGGACCGCGTCAGGGCCGCATAAGGGGCCGCGGCAGGGGCCGCGTCAGGGGCCGCGTCAGGGCCGCGTCAGGGCCGCGGCAGAGCCGCTTCAGGGCCGCGTCAGGGGCCGCTTCAGGGCCGCGGCAGGGGCCGCAGCAGGCCGCGTCAGGACCGCGTCAGGGGCCGCGGCAGGGCCGCGTCAGGGCCGCGGCAGGGGCTGCGTCAGGGCGCCGCCAGGGGCCGCGTCAGGTCGCGTCAGGGCCGCGTCAGGCGCCGCCAGGGGCCGCGTCAGGGCGCCACCAGGGGGCGCGTCAGGGGCCGTGATAGGGCGCCGGCAGGGGCCTCGTCAGGGCGCCGCCAGGGGCCGCATAGGGGGCGCGTGGGAGGCGGCGTAGGGGCCGCGTAGAGGCAGCGTAGGGGCCGCTAAAAAAAAAAATTTAGGGCAGGGCGCAATGTGCGCGGGCAGCTAAAAAAAAATTTCTTATGGTGGGCCCTTAGGAAGGAACGGTCCCATGTAGGAACCCGCTCTATACCATGTGAATTAAGAAAAACAGGAATGAGAATGACTAAGTGAAAGTTGGGTACAAGAAGCAAACCCTAGAAAACTGTACCCCATATGTGCTACCCCACTCTAGCCTACAGTAGCTATGTCATATAAATCTGACATGCTGTTCTTATCCGAACGGTTAGAAGTCTTAGGATGATGTGTCAAAGTAGATCGCTTCAAGTTGGAGCTGAGTCGCTTAACAGCTTTTTCAGCTTCCTGCTTCGCGATCTCTCGAACTGCTGGTTCAACAGGCAGGTTCTCTGCTTCCGTCATCGCATCAGCTCTCTCGTCGTCATCTTCCTTCTTCTTCTCCTTCAGGTGAGTTTCGGCGACAGCAGCTTCGAGGAAAAACTGGGACATTGACTCGGTAAACTCTCTGATGATCCGGTCCGTGAAGAAATTCAGCTTGTCGGTAAGCTTGGAGTTCTTAACGCCGAGATCAGAGTTCTTCGTTAGATTAATAAAGTTGGTCAGCTGACTTTGGAGCTTTGGGTAGACGCCATAAGCATCATTAAGAGCACAGTCGGCCGCTTTCTTCTTCATATTAATCATGACGTTCTGAGCTTGCAGACAATATGCCGTACAGGCTTCCGTCAGGTCCTTATCAGCTTCCTGCTTCACTTCTTTGTTGTTGCAGACGAAAGCAAACGGTTTGATGCGAATACTGTGCGGGGTAATGCCGCTATTCTTCTGATCAACCATAAACTGATGTTGCTGCTGTAGCGTACGAAACTTAAAAAAATACTTCTTGAAGTCGTTAACAGCCTTAATCTTGAAAGAGTTAAGGCATGAAGGTGTCGTTTGCTTGTCCAAAAAATATTCAGATACTTCTCCCAAGAAATCGAAGGAATCCGTCATTTCGATGTCGTTATCCAAAGTCACCGTCACATTAGCTTCAAGAGCCATTGCAGCAGCAAAACTTCCTTCAACAGGGTTAGGAGCTTCAACACGCTTCGTAACCGGTTGACGAGAAGCCATCGGGTCGACTTGGGGTAAAGTAGCAGGAGAGTCTGCGATCTGGCAGAGCCGCTTCTTGCTAGGCTGAACAGGAGAGGATTCAATAGGATCCTCTGGTTCCGAAATGAGGAGCTGATGTTGTTCCTTGACGAGTGACTGTCTTTTTGTAGACTGTCGAGTCGCCTTGGAATTAGTTTCCTTGGGAAGAGTTCTCTTCATTGTTGTGAACTTTGCTTTGAATTCGAAACCGGCCTTCGTAGTGTTTGGTGTCGTCACACCCAAGGAGCACCACTTTGTGGTGGGAGACATTACGAGAGCGGTTTTTTTGCGCAAATTTAGGTTCAGAGAGATTTCAGGCGTGAAAGCCTGGTTGTAGAATGGTTTCTTGTGTAAATCAAGTGGTGGTAACTAGTTTCGGCGTAATCGCCTTCGTCAGACCACAAGAATGAAATGAGCCCCCGAGGTTTGTATACACCCCAGACTGACTCGGCTACCCTACAGTAACCTGAATCAGGCTCAAAAAATGAAATTCAACTAACTTCAGCACTTACGAGCAGAAACTAAAAAGCTTCCAACTCTCTTAGGCAGTTTCCATGCCAAGATCGCCCTCCGTCCTGTGAAAATGTCGCGTGACATTATATCCAGGTGACTTTTGAGTCGACTCGAAAGTCAACAGCAGCGGAGCCACAGGGTGTGGAGTGGGTGCTGCAGCAGTGAGCCCATGCTTCGAGAGAGTTGAGACTCAGCACATAATGCAGCCAGGAGCAGACGATGAAGCCGGCGGGGGAGGGGGACGGGGAGGAGGGGGGTCGGGGGGGTCGGGGAATGCGGGGGCAGCGGCGGCGTTCTTCCCCAAGGGCATGCGCATGCTGGTGGTGGACGACGACCCGCTGTGCCTCATGATCCTCGAACGCATGCTGCGCCGCTGCAACTACCAAGGTGCGCTGCTGCCTGCCTGCCTGCCTGCCTGCGTGCCTGCGTGCCTGCGTGCCTGCGTGCCTGCGTGCCTGCGTGCCTGCGTGCCTGCGTGCCTGCGTGCCTGCGTGCCTGCGTGCCTGCGTGCCTGCGTGCCTGCGTGCCTGCGTGCCTGCGTGCCTGCGTGCCTGCGTGCCTGCCTGCCTGCCTGCCTGCCTGCCTGCCTGCCTGCCTGCCTGCCTGCCTGCCTGCCTGCCTGCCTGCCTGCTGCCTGCGTGCCTGCGTGCCTGCGTGCCTGCGTGCCTGCGTGCCTGCGTGCCTGCGTGCCTGCGTGCCTGCGTGCCTGCGTGCCTGCGTGCCTGCGTGCCTGCGTGCCTGCGTGCCTGCGTGCCTGCGTGCCTGCGTGCCTGCGTGCCTGCGTGCCTGCGTGCCTGCGTGCCTGCGTGCCTGCGTGCCTGCCTGCCTGCCTGCCTGCCTGCCTGCCTGCCTGCCTGCCTGCCTGCCTGCCTGCCTGCCTGCCTGCCTGCCTGCCTGCCTGCGTGCCTGCGTGCCTGCGTGCCTGCGTGCCTGCGTGCCTGCGTGCCTGCGTGCCTGCGTGCCTGCGTGCCTGCGTGCCTGCGTGCCTGCGTGCCTGCGTGCCTGCGTGCCTGCGTGCCTGCGTGCCTGCGTGCCTGCGTGCCTGCCTGCCTGCCTGCCTGCCTGCCTGCCTGCCTGCCTGCCTGCCTGCCTGCCTGCCTGCCTGCCTGCCTGCCTGCCTGCCTGCCTGCCTGCCTGCCTGCCTGCCTGCCTGCCTGCCTGCCTGCCTGCCTGCCTGCCTGCCTGCCTGCGTGCCTGCGTGCCTGCGTGCCTGCGTGCCTGCGTGCCTGCGTGCCTGCGTGCCTGCGTGCCTGCGTGCCTGCGTGCCTGCGTGCCTGCGTGCCTGCGTGCCTGCGTGCCTGCGTGCCTGCGTGCCTGCGTGCCTGCGTGCCTGCGTGCCTGCGTGCCTGCGTGCCTGCGTGACTGCGTGCCTGCGTGCCTGCGTGCCTGCCTGCCTGCCTGCCTGCCTGCCTGCCTGCCTGCCTGCCTGCCTGCCTGCCTGCCTGCCTGCCTGCCTGCCTGCCTGCCTGCCTGCCTGCCTGCCTGCCTGCCTGCCTGCCTGCCTGCCTGCCTGCCTGCCTGCCTGCCTGCCTGCCTGCCTGCCTGCCTTCCTGCCTGCCTGCCTTCCTGCCTACCTGCCTTCCTGCCTGCCTGCCTGCCTGCCTGCCTGCCTGCCTGCCTGCAGCTACCAAGGAGAGCGACATGGTGGGGGGGCTGAAGAAGGCACGGATTATCTGGAGCGTGGAGCTGCACCAGCAGTTTGTGAAGGCTGTTCACCACCTCGGCGTTGACAGTGAGTGCCATGCGGTGCTGAGCAGTGTTGTGCGGTGTTGTGGTACGGTGCTTTGTTGTGTTGTGCGCAAGGGCAATACAGCAGCGACGAGCCGGGAAATTCTGGATGACAGGACGCTGCTGGGGTGTGGTTTATCTGCATTTCCTTGGGAAAGAAGGGGGGAGGGAGTTGGGGAAGAAGGGGGGAGGGAGTTGGGAAAGAAGGGAGGAGGGAGTTGGGAAAGATGGGGGGAGGGAGTTGGGAAAGATGGGGGGGAGGGAGTTGGGAAAGAAGGGGGGAGGGAGTTGGGGAAGTAGGGAGACTTGGTGAGAGAAGGGAGGGAGGGAAACGAAAGAATGGGGAGGTACAAATGGGTGCTCTGTGCTGTGCGTACATACGTGGCCGGTGGTGTGGTTCCATGCACTGAAAGGCCTGCTCCCCATCTCTCCATCGTCTCCCCATCACATACCCACCCCGCTGCTTTGAATGTCACCTTCCTCTCCGATCTGCTCCCTCTCGGATCTGCTCCCTCTCATTATCCCTGTATCATACCTCCTCTTGGTTCTCCCCTCCCTCAACCCCTTCCTTACTCCGTCCCTCTTCCCCTTCCTTCCCCCCACTCCCCCCTCCTCACCCCTCTTCCCTTCCAACCCTTTCCAACGTCACATTCTAACCCTTTCACCCCTACCCTCTCCCAACCCCTGTAGGTACATTGCGGTGTGGCAGAGGCGGTGCCAAAGAAGATACTGGAGATGATGGGAGTGCCGGGCCTCACACGGGAGAATGTAGCCAGCCCCCTGCAGGTATTGCTGCTCTCTGCTCTGCTCTGCTCTGCTTTGCTCCGCTCTGCTCTGCTCTGCTCTGCTCTGCTCTGCTAGCCCACGCCTCTCCCACATACAGCATGCCATGCCATGCCGTGTCATGCCTTGCCGTGCCATGTCATGCCATGTCATGCCGTGCCGTGCGATGTCATGCCATTCTTCTGGTCCTCCATTCTTTCGTAAGGCACCAGTCCTCCACCTGCCTTCACGGCACCACAAAAGTATTGAGATGCCATTTGAGTCAACTTAAAACACATCTCATCGCACCTCGCTGCCGCCACTGCACCACGAGGCACTAGCTGCTTCACCAGCTTTCACAACAGTACAGTCGCGTCTGAAAAGCACCCTTCCTTTTCAGGCAGTCAGTGAAATGGTCGTGGTTATATCAGGCACGCGTCTTATAATCTCCTTCCTTTTCCATTCACCATGTGTGCTTCCCTCTCCCATGCACACTGTCTCCTCCCCCATCCCCTCTCTGCCCTGTCCTGTTCCACTGCCCTCCATCGCTTCCTTCTCTCCTTCTCTCTCATGCCATCCCCACCCTCCTCTCTCTGCCGCCCTCTCGTTTTCTCTCCCCTTCCCTGCCTCCTCCTTTCCGACTCCCCCCCCACGCACCTACGTAACACCCCCTCTTCCCAGAAGTACCGCCTATATCTGAAGCGCCTGAGTGGCATGGCGGAATCTGGGATTTCCGCTGCTCCTTCTGCTGCTCTCTCCTCCACCAACGGCCGTCCAGCAGGCCGTTCTGCACCAGCACCAGGTCGCTGTGGCGCACAGGGGGGACCTGCAAGGGGATTGGGGAGCGGGGGGGAGGGGGGGTAGGGGAGCATTTTCAGGCGCCCTTAAGGCCGTCCAGCAGGCCGTTCGGCACCAGCACCAGGTCGCTGTGCCGCGCTGTGGGGACCTGCGGGGTGGAGGGGGGAAGGGTAGGGGAGATTGTTCAGGCGCCCCTAAAGCCATCCAGGGAGCGGTTTTGCGCCAGCAGCAGGTTGGTGTGGCGCACAGTGCAGGTCTGCTGGGGAGATAAGGGAGCTATCTGGCACATGTGTAGGCCGGTCCGAGGTGTGTAAGCCGGTCCGAGGTGTGTAAGCCGGTCCGAGGTGTGTAAGCCAGTCCGAGGTGTGTAAGCCGGTCCGAGGTGTGTAAGCCGGTACGAGGTGTGTAAGCCGGTCCGAGGTGTGTAAGCCGGTCCGAGGTGTGTAAGCCGGTCCGAGGTGTGTAAACCGGTCCGACATGTGTAAGCCGGTCCGAGGTGTGTAAGCCGGTCCGAGGTGTGTAAACCGGTCCGACATGTGTAAGCCGGTCCGAGGTGTGTAAGCCGGTCCAAGGTGTGTAAGCCGGTCCGAGGTGTGTAAGCCGGTCCGAGGTGTGTAAGCCGGTCCGAGGTGTGTAAGCCGGTCCGAGGTGTGTAAGCCGGTCCGAGGTGTGTAAGCCGGTCCGAGGTGTGTAAGCCGGTCCGAGGTGTGTAAGCCGGTCCGACATGTGTAAGCCGGTCCGAGGTGTGTAAGTAAGCCGGTCCGAGGTGTGTAAGCCGGTCCGAGGTGTGTAAGCCGGTCCGAGGTGTGTAAGCTGGTCCGAGGTGTGTAAGCCGGTCCGAGGTGTGTGGGCGTCGGCTCATAGAGCCAACATGAAAGAGCATAGCATGTGGACACGACCCACCCACACCCCACCCCTGTAAACCGTACCTCACCGCACGCCCCTACTCCTGAATCCCATACCCCTGAAAACCCCTGCCTCTGAACCCCATAGCCCCATGACCCACATGAGTAACAGTACCTGCGCCAGCACATGGTCTTTTGAGTCAACTCAAAAGTCAACTCACATGAGAGTGACGGTACCTGCGCCAGCACATCGTCCAGGTGGCAGTTGTGTGTCGAGTCAACTCAAAACGTCTACACCCTCTACCCTTGAACCCTTTACCCCGTTGACCCACGCGAGTGACAGTACCTGTGCCAGCATATCGTCCCCCTGAACTCACCCCCCCTCCTTCGCCACTCCCAGACCTATACTGAGTGACGTCGTACCTGTGCCAGCACATCGTCCAGGTGGTAGTTGTGCGTCGCCACCACGATTGGCCCCTGCAAATGGCGCGGCGACAGCTGGACGAGGGATGAGAAGGGCACGCCACGTGGCAGGAGCAGTGGCTGAAGGGGGGAGAAAATGAGCAGGAGAGAGACAAAAGGGGGAGGGGGAGAGGAAGGTAGAGGGAGAGCGGGGTAGGGGGGAAGAAAGGGATGGGGAGAGGAGGAACATGGGAGGAAGATTCCCACGGGATGGTGTGGGAAGGGATGACTCAGAGTCAAAATATAAGCCATGGTGCGGGGGAATATAGATGATGCTGAGAGGAGAGAACAAAAGAGAAGAACAGAGGGATATACTTTCGAATCCAAATAAAAACCTGCCAGAAGACTGACAGGTGAAAGCCCATCTTTGGTGAAAGCCTGACTGTCTGACCTATTAGGTGGAGCCATTTGCATGAAAGCCTGGCCTATTCTACCGGCACCTATAATCACCATCGCAACTCCCTCCTCTTCCGCTTCTTCGCTCCCCCAATCCTCTTCCCCCCCTAACCCTCTCTGCCTCCTCTGCCCTATCCCCTTCCTTTACTGCCACAACCTGCCCACTTCTCCCGTCATTAATCTCCACCCTTCCACCATACCCTCCTTCACCCAGCCGCCCTTCACTTTCCCCTCCGCACGTTGCCACCGCCTTCCGCCTTCCCCCTGTCTCCCCGCGCCAATTTCTCCGCTGCTTCCCCCCCGAAAGCACGCTTCCGCAGTCACCTTCCCGCCGCGCCCAGGAATCAGCCCTCTCCCCCACGCGCCCGGGGACCGGAATTCTTGAATCCGCGTCCGCCCACGTACCAGCGGCGCACCTTTCCCCGCGCAGGCGCAAGTGCCTCGCCGCGCCAAGAGCGGCGCGACAGCGGCAGCTGCAGCTGCAGTTGCGAGCAAAGCGAACAGATGGCAGTGAGGTGGGGGTGCTACTTGCTGCTGTGACTCCGGCGGAAAACGGGCAAGCGCGCGGGGCGGAGAGCGGAGGCGCAGCGGATTGCCGGCGGAAATCCGGGCGGCAAGGCGGGCGGCAGAAGGACGCATCGCTGGCAGCGGCGCGCATGACGGCAGTTGACGCCTGTTAGTCAGTAATAGTAACCGCTCAGATACCAACCGCTCAGGTAGTGCTGCGCGGCTCCGGACCACGCGGTGCGGGAGATGCGCGGGTCCTGCTGCGTCTAGCACGCTGCTCGCTAGGTCCAAGCGGCGCGCGGCGGAGCTGGCCGCGAGGAGCGGGCGCACGGCAGGTGAATTATGGAGCTTCTGTCTGTCCCGTTCTCCAAGGCGCACAAGGCTTCTTCGTCCCCACCCCCTTGCGCTTATTCGTCCACATGACGCGGTCTGCCTTTCATCGTGGCGACCTACGCATCGGGATTTATCAGAACGTGATGTCAGCATTGCACAATCTACGGTAGTTTGTTTCACGCGTTACCGTTATAGAGTTTCTTTACAAGTTCGATAATCCGAACTTCAATCACACATGTAACAGTCTGTTGTATATCTATTACGGTACTAGACAAAATCGGGTTTTTATATGGGCCATCATAAAACTTTTCGGATTTATCACGACCAGTCACGGCGCTATCACGAACGGTCACAAAACCAGCCAAATCTATCACGAACCATCACATGGGTATCACCCGCCGTCACTCAAAGGCACTAAAATCTATCACGGGTAGTCACACTCGAAAGTTTGCTCTCACATTTCGTTGACCCGCGCTGAAACACTGTACAGATTTAGGGACTATATTTCGGGTTGGGTGATTTTGTCCTGTATACGCGACCATTTTGGTCGCAAAGATAGCTGGTTACGTTTGGTTCGACGTAACACACATTAATAAAATGAAAACAATGAATGATTCTAACGCATATATACATTGCTACATTTCACAATTAATTGAATCTGCCTAAATATTTATCAAGATAATTGCACATCCATGACTTGGAACGCACAATTTATATTTCGTTAAACAGCGGATAGAATATACAGAATGAGAGTAATCTCACTGTAATACAGTAACACTAGCCGTCAGTTACATACAACACACACATAATAATTTTCACGCCAGCCTATCTCCTCAGAATTTAATCACAGGCATAATATCACAAGGGTTTAGGAATCCATGTTACACAAACCATGCTTTGTACTGCAAATTTCACACGTAGTCAAGCATTTGCGATGTGTAGATTGTTACCTTTAGGAAATGTGCACAATGTGAATATTGTACCAGTGTTACAGTAACCCTAAAAACGATGCTCGCACTGCACTGCATTGTTTAGTAACATTAAGTTTGGGTTTCAAACATTTAAACAGTTTTGCAGCCACTGTATGAACCTGTCTGATGGACACGCGAGTGCCCACAGTGGACAGTGGTCGCGTATACAGGACAAAACTACCCAGCCCAAAATATATTCCCTAAATCTGTACAGTGTTTCAGCGCGGGTCAATGAAATGATGACGGGGTTCATCTGTGAGAGCAAACTTTCGAGTGTGACTACCCGTGATAGATTTTAGTGCCTTTGAGTGACGGCGGGTGATACCCGTGTGATGGTTCGCGATAGATTTGGCGGGTTTTGTGACTGTTCGTGATAGCGCCGTGACTGGTCGTGATAACTCTGAAAAGTTTTATGATAGCCCATATAAAAACCCAGACCAAATCACCATCGGATTATTATTCCCTGATGCTTGTTTAAATGAGGTGTATAAGACGATTTAAATGAAAAGAGGAAATGATTTACGTTGTGAAAATGTGGCAAAAGCTGGAGAGATCCTGGCTGTCTACAAATATCAACTGTATGAATACACTTGAACCCTCCCCAACGGTTTTTGGGGGAACAAATATCAGGTCAATGCGCTCTGTTGCTTTCCACCAACCCAACATCCAGAAACAGGCCATTTTCAACGGCGTTTAACTTATGCTAGTACGATTATGCGGATGCATACAATAGACGGCCATAGGGGAAAGAGGTTGACGGACTGCTATCTGCCCGCGGTAAAAAAACAATAAACCCCGTCTGGATGGCATGCGACTGGGGGAACCACAACCCTGAATACAGGTAACCGCTTGGTTTTGGCAGCAGGCCAACATTTTTCCCTGAACCGTCTATCGCATAGATTCGCAAACTTGCACAACCTAAATCTGCATGCATTAGGTAAAAGCCGAACCAGCAACATTGCGAATCGCGTGTTGGTATACGCATGGGTTGCTTGTGTCAAGTACAATGCGACGACGCCGTGTTGGATCCAGACACGTGGTTGTGTCAGAAAGTTTGCCACCAAGTTGATCGCTTCACACAGCAATCCCGGAAACCTGTTCGCCAGCACATCAGTGCGAGCCACTCTCTGTTCAAGGGGGGTGCAAGCAAGACAGGTTCCATTCTTACGGTACGGACTCGTTTGTGCGCATCTGCAGTTCCGTGGCTTACGAGTCTGGGCAGATATAGCTGACTCAGCAGCACAGCCACGTTGGAGAACGTAGTGTGTTACGGGACCGGAAGTGAGCTCCATTTTCTGAAAGTCACATTACTCGTCGATATCCGAGTCGCGTCGCAACATCGAGGTGCCTGTCGCAGTGGCACTCATTCACCGTACTATCATGTCGCACCCTCTCACGCTGAAGGGACTAGGTATTATACACGCTAGATTGTACGTCGTCTGCATCAGTTCTTTAATTAGCGCCAAAAGTCCTCACTCTACAGCTGCGACCTCCATTTCTCGCTTCTAGCCATACTACCAATGGAGCTCCGGACTTCTCTCTTCATCCTGCTCTGTAAGCACCCACTGCTGTTACTAACGGTCAATTTCGTGTTACTCTGAACCAACGGCAAGAAAGCTTATCCGAGTCGCATCCATTATAGTAAAAGACCTTCTTGTCACCCTTCGAGTCGGCAGTATGTCGCACTTGTCGATTTTGCAGATGATGCTACCGCACTGAGCATGATTGCGCGTCTCTGCCATTTGGCGATTTGCCACACCCAAACTGGTTTCTCGTCCCCTCGTCATGGCGCTGCTCGTGCCGCATTTCCTGCCGCTGCAGGTGCGGCGCTCTTCACTGCCGCCGCGTCAGCATCGTTCCTCGCGCCACTCCCACGCGGCGACGGCAGCGTGTCTGCGGCTTCTAGAGTCATTGGGGCCAAAAGGCCTCCGTGGAAAGGCAAGACAGTCGGTAAGTTCCAGCTTGAACTCCATGGAGCGTTGAACGCCCTCATGATTTCTTGAAGATGCTACCGTCATGATTTCTTGCTACTATATACGGTGCTCCCTGTATCATACTGGGAGTACTGCAATGGTGATACACGGTTGCGGGAGTAGCATCGAGCGTGTAGCTTGTTTGCGTACATTTTGTATTGGGAGAGTGACCCGAAAGGTGCTGTGCAAGTAACGTTCGCTTCCCCGAGTTGGAACCTATACTTTTTATTTTTGCGGGAAAAATCTAACCCTAAAGTTGCGGATGAGTAAGTTTCCCGTTGCATTTTGCGTTTCCCTATTCCGTGATGATTAGGGACTGAATAAGCAACTAAGAAGAAGAATTAGTATTGTCGCTTCCCCACAAGTAGTGGTCACTTGCTCCGAGGCCAACGAATGGCCCATTCCAAAGCCGAACTGGTTGTGCGTTCTTTGCACCCTTTTAACGTTCTGACACATGATGGCGCTATGCGCGTCTACTAGATGCTATACTGACTATCCTGTGCTCCCCGTACGGGGTTTGCTGTCCACACCAAGTATTCTCCGGCCACCCGACTGTCCCCATGTCCCCATATGATTCCCCAACCCTGCCATGCCCATGGCCAGTAAAGTACGTGGCCAAGCTGCGTCCCACGAAGGTCAAAGGGAAAGTTGTCGGCGACAAAGGTGCTTCCGGATTGTTTGTCCTCTGAGCAATAAGGTATGCTCTTTTATACCTCCACAAAGACATAGCAAATGAAACTCACGTTTTGCTCCCGGCTTCTTTCCTCTTCATCCCTACTATCTTCCCCCACCTCCCCCACCTCCCCCCCCTCACTCCCCCCCTCCCCACCCCCTTCACTTCCTCTTCAACATTACCTCCCCCCCTCTCCCCCCTTCACCTCTGCTTCCACCTGTCCCCCCACATCACGTTGACAGGTATTCAAAAACGTTATACTACACCAGCAATCTTATTCGCGTCCTCAACGTCAAGTCTGGAGGAGACGCACCTTCCCCAGGCAGCGTAGCTTCTTGCAACAGTGATGTCGGTTCAAGCGGTATTACCTACGTGGAATAACATTACAAGTGACAAATCTGGTCGCAAGAAGCGCTACAGCTTCAGTTTCTCAGAGCTTACCGGGCCAATGCCTAAGACTCAAGTTCCTAGCGACATTTCTCTCACGCTGAAGGGCGGCAAATACATCCTGGTTTCACATCTCAAAAACTTCAAGGCGCTCTGCGGGAAGTTGAAGAAAGTGGTCAATCGCATAGTTTAGTTTCTTGTGACCAGTACAACGCAAGTAGATTTGCATCGCATGTTTGAAGCCCAGAGCCTTTACCGTGCAATGGAGGACAGCGTAGGTACTCTGAACATTGCGGCACAGTAGGCCCGGTGTTTCATTCAGAGTACCATCTCAGCCCAAATACACATAATTTCTTACCATAGATTAGAGCCCGATCTGTGCCACTTTTCTTGTAGCCAGCACAAATTTGAGATTGCATTTAGGCAGCGTTATAATATGGTAGTAAACAGAGTCATCAGGGGCTATTTTTCAAGGGTATTTTGCCCTGATTCCCCTTTCTGTGAGGCGTTTTTTTCCTTGTACCCTGATTTTGTAAGGCCAGCCAAATTGCAACCCTTCCCCAAAAAGTGTAGCAATCATATGTAGCAGTCAGGGTCAGGTATAGATTACCCTTTTACCGAATCCTCGCACCTTGCTGTAACTGTAGGATTTTGCCTTGCTGTACTAGGAACAAAGCATTCGGCCCACCGACAGTCTGTGCTATCAAGGTGGGTGGTTTTGTTTTTTCTTGCTGTCATTGCTATTCGTCCTCGCGGCAGCTTTGGCTGCCAGCACTTCGTGTTTTCTCTTGACAG